AAAAAGAAAAAAAAATCAGTGCTTTACTGTATATGTATACTTTGCCGGTATACATATTCATGATGAAAATGTTAACATGTTAATTTAAAATGCACAAAGAATCGTATTGTCTCCCCCCTTTCTTCTAGTGGCTACATGAGTAAGAAAAGTTTGAGGACCACTTGAGTGGTGGTGAAAGCCGGGCCTTTGGAATGGTAAGATCTTAAATTCGTGGCCCATACCTAATACTTCCGGTTAAATATCCCGAGTTTATCTCACAACGCTACCCTTCAGTTCCTCGTCCTTAGAACGAGACACAATGGTTGTAGGACCCGTGAGGAGGCAGCTCCCATGAAGGCTGGAAGCCTAAGGGAAGGCTATGCTATGGCAATGGCAAGTGACCGGTCAAGACCTGATCTTTGTATCCAATTTAATGCAGAAGAGATTCAGAAACTGCATGGTTTGTGTATCTTCACCACATACACACACAAACAGGGCAAGCAAACAAAGATCAGGAGCTAAGTCAAAGTAGTTACTTTTAATTAACACACCAAGGACAAATGGTGTAAAGACGCCAGTCACCAGACTACAAGAATCTCACCAGTTGCACCCAGTGCATAGTCCGAGAAAAATCAGCCTTGCAAGCAACCGTCTTGAACGAGTGGCATTTCATTCATGGCTCCAGCAGACTTTGGGACCTTATAGCTACAGGTCCCGCGTCGGAGGCAGAGACAGTGCGTGGGTGTTCCTATCCCGAAGGAGCCAGACATGGAATCATTTTGCTCCGATGTGGTAAAGACGGCGAGCAGATACAAGGTACGGGGTCTGGTGCTAGCACGTGGAGGACAGCAGCTGTTGCAGAGGTCAAAGTGCAGAGGGCAAAGGGAGGAAGCAAGTATTCAAGGCTGAAAGAAAGGCTTGCTATTTGGACAAAACGAAGAAAAAACATTTCAGGTGGGACACATGAAAGAGGCTTTAAAACAACAACAACAGCAGCAACAGCTGTGGGAGGACTGGGAGGAAAATGAGGAATAAGCAGGGTCCAGGGCCTGAAGGACTAGACAGGGCAGGTTCTTTGTCTTCTCTCTGGAGGCCACAGGAAGCCACTGACCGATTATAAGTACGTAAGTATCAGATCTAGTTCTAGAAAACCCTCTGATGGATGTCTAAGAAGAGATTCCGAAGAGACTGAAAGACGCTTGTGGAACTGCTTCAGTGAGGCTGGTGCAGTCCACTGGTGTGGCAGCTACACAGTTTCACGTTAACTTGATACACAGGGTGTAGGGGTGGAGTCCGGCCTGATGGCACCTCCTTATGGACGCGGCCTTCTCATAAGGAGGACCCTGGGACACTCCCTTCTCTCTCTGTTTTGACCTTCCTGTGGCAAGCCACTCTGAGACCTGCCAGAGGCCTGGAGATGCGTCCACTGCCATTGGATCCACAAGACTTTGCACCCACCGGCCTGTGATCTTCCTGCACTCTGCATCATTGCCTGTGCCTGTGGGGGGGACTTATTGTCTAGTATCAGACTTATGGACTTGAGTTGGACCGGGCTGGAATGTTTTCCTGATATATAAAACTTCTTGATCTCAAGTTCTTTCTTACACATATACGAGTGTCACCTTTTTCCTCGAGTCAACCTGGCCTAACACAACTGGAGGAAATGGGCTGGGGAATTCCTCAGGAGGGACAATCAGCACAATGTGGAGACGGGCTGGGTAAGAGGAGGACAGGGGGACAGGGGCTGAGTCCCAGCTTTCTAGGTTTAAGCTACATGCATGCTGCCATTAACTGAGACATGGGCTGTCGGCTATGGCAACTATTGAGAGAATGGACCCACTCTAGAAGATAAAAACTGTCCTCAGTCAAGGCAAGCTCCTGAGAATGGGCAAGTGCCCGCATACTCCCAAGACGACCATGTAACTATACTGCAAAGCAGGCTTTGGAGAGCGCAGGCAGAAATCCAGCCCTGCCATGAGAACAATAGGCTCTGATTCTTTTCCATGTCGTCTCAGATGTCCAATTAAGCACTTCTTTAAAAATCTGGACATGGACCAAGGGCAAAGATATCTCATCTCCCCTACTAATCAATACATAATCTCTTGACTGGGAAACCAGACCCCCCAGCTGGGCACGCATTTTGTTGGTGGAAAAGCTGCTCAGAACAAGCTGCCAAAGAGGCGAAGACCCCACCACTGGCTTTGTCTAAATACAGGCTGATGCGCTCCGCTGAGGACAGGATCCTAGGGAGCAAAGCAAGCGACTGGTGGGTGGCAGGGCTTTTGTCAAATGAGCACTAATTCCATGTCAATCAACACTGCTTATTTATTTATACACTTGCTTTTTAAAACGTTTTATTGACATATAACCCACATACCATTAATTCTGTGGTTTAAGTGTATTTAAAAGGGCTGTGTGAGATCACTACCATCAATGGTAGCACACTTCCTTCATGCTTGCTCCCGTTATTATTAGCTCCTCATTATCCCCCTCCTCAGCCTTCCCTGCCTTAACCCGAAGGATCTATTCATCTACTTACTGCCTCTGTAAATTTATCCTGGGTTTTATAAAGAAAATCATAACAAAAATGACAACAAAAATACAGAAAAACCTTAATCCAAGTGAATAACCCCCTGCCTCCCCCAAAACTCACTCTTGACCCCTGGCAACCCTATAGAACAGGGTAGAACTGCCCCCGTGGGTTTACAAGACTGTGACTCCCTATGGGAGTAGAAAGCCTCATCTTCCTCCTGAGGAGAAGCTAGTGGTTTGAACTGCTGACCTCAAAGTGAGCAGCCCAATGGGTAACCACAACACCAAGTGCAGGCAGAAGATACAGAAACTAAATCAAAATTTCAAAGGGTCCAAAGGGAAAACAAATGATATTATGCTAAACTTTAATTTTACCCTAAGTCTATTGGCAGTAAGCCACTTTCCAAAGCACCTTGTCTGAGGGCAAGCCCATTCAGACTTTAATTTTGAATCAGGTATTTTCATGTAGGTGAGACTGTGCTCCAATTGATAGTCCCACCAGCAGAGTGTGAGAAGTCTACGTCCGCCATCACTCCCGATCGATTGTTTTCTGTTCCTCGTTAAGTAAACTGTGTTTGTATGTATGGAGGGATGCCTTGTTTTTGAGTGGATGTCTCCTGGGCATCTGCTTGTGATCTGAATGTGCATTTCCCAGATGGCTAATGAACTCGAGTTTTCTCTGAAGTCTCTTAATCTGCAGATTCTTTCCCCCGTCTCTCTTTGCCTTGTAAGTGGTTTATTGAAGGAAGTGCGATGCCCTCCTTTTCGTGAAGATGTGAAATCTTATGATGGGTGCTGGACCGCTGCATCTCATAAGATGCCCAGGCCATTGTGGTTCTACGCGTTTGTCACCTGAAAGGCAACACAGCTCCTGCTTGGCCATTGAGACTGCTTCTGGGCCGGCCCTGGGGCTCCCTCCGCGAGGGCACATGGTCCTCCCGAAGCCCAGGTGCCTTCCCTTTCCAGATCTCATCCTGAACGAGGAAAGCCAGATAAAAACCTGTTTCCCCAACTGCTGAAAATGATTGTGGGAGAGCTCAGCTCCCCGTGGGCAGAGCCAGAGAAGGCGAGGTGAGCGGAGGGAGTTCCTGTTGCCTGCGTAATCTTGAGGAAAGCACTTCATGTTTCTGGGCTGCACCTTTTCATCTGGATAGCAGGGTGGCAAAGGCAAATTTCATTTTGAGGGCCGGCTCCACGCGGCGGCTGGCTGTTCGCAGGTTGCTGTGGAAGGCTCTGAGGGCAGCTCTAAGCTCAGTGGAAAACAGTGCTGTGCTTAATTACTGGCATGGGAGGCAGAGGGCAGAGGGCAGCATCTGGGACGAAAGGTACTTGTCCCGTTAGGAAGATAATCTCCAGGGACCGTTCTGGCTCTGAGAGAGTCCATGCAGTCTGTGTGCTGTGAATTCTATTATTCAATATGGCTGGGAAATGGGACTTTTGCTTAATTATATATTCCTGGTAAAAACAATCCCTAATTTTCCAGATAATTAGATTATAATAGGGCATATTTAATAACATTAACATCAATCTAATCCAATCTTCTAAATGTGAGGGTTTGGGGAGAAGGCACGTGGGGACACGGCAGCGCCACCAGGCCACCAACACAAACATCAATGACCAAAGTAAGAAAACCTAAAAAGTATTGTTCATAGAAAATTCTGGAAGTAGTGTGCAAGTCAGCAAGAACTCTATTTGGTGCTGGTGACTGGGGTGAAAGGGCATCCTAGCTGAAGGGTGGAACAGTGCCCATGACTATTTTCCAGCAACAGCAAAAGCAAGAAATGGATGCGCTCCTATATTTCAGGAGACGTGTCGAGTCCTCGGCAACCATGCCTCTGAAAACTATCCCCCTTTCTCCAGCCCACTCACAGGCGTCCTGGGAATCTGGCCTTATTAGTATCTGGCTTTGGCCCGACCAACGCTGGACCACAGGGCCGCTCTCTCCTCTGGTGATCAACTGGGGAGACCTGTCAACTTGGGAGCCTGACATTTTCCACCAGGTGCTGTCTACCAGGAGACGTGGCACAGGAAATGGAATGCTTAGCTCTCTTGGGTCTTGACTACTTCTGGTTCCTATTCCTCACTCCAGTGCAGGCAAGGCCTGTCTCTATTTGCTGCCCGTGGGTTTGGTGAGCTATTCCTGGATCCTTATAGAGTATGATCTCAATAAATTCACTCTGTAAAGTTCAGATCACAAATATTTCCTTCACATCGGGGTTAGGTCACCTATGCAGGGGTAAGACACAGGCAGAGAATAAACTGCAAATGTCTAAAACAAAAGAAAACAGAGAGAGAGAGAGAGCGAATTGAAAAGAGGAAAGGGTGAAGGAAATAGGAGGAAGAGGAAATAGAAAGAAGGTCCGGAGAAAAAAGGGGCTGTAAGAGAGGATACAAATCAGTGAAGAATGAACAGATGAGGCCCAATCGCCTCCCATCTCTTGTGTCAGAACTCTGGACTTGCCACTGATAAGGAATTGTGCGAATAAACAATTCTTACACGTGCAGTGAGCCAGGAAGGTCGGGGGATGAACAACAGAAATGTGGGTGAAAGGAGACAGCGGATGATATAAGCTATGGAGATAATAATAATAATTTATAAATTATCAAGGGTTCATGAGGGAGGGAGGGAGGATAAAAGAAATGAGGAGCTGATACCATGGGCTCAAGTAGAATGAAAATATTTTGAAAATGAGGATGGTAACAAATGTACAAAAGTGCTTGGAGGGTGAGACGAGCTGGAAGAGCCCCAATAAAGTGTTTTTTTAAAGAAAAAAAAAAAAAGGAAGGTAGTAACTCTGTAAGTCCTGATAGGACCAGGAGGGTTGTTAAGTGGGAAAAGCCAGGGTACAATGCAATACGCACCACATGACACAGCTTTTGCACAACGGGCCAAGAACCCAGTGATTGTTGAGAGTCGCGCTCTCGGAGGAACGAGTTTGAGGCGGCCAGAGAGACAGTTCACCGTGATTGAATACTTCAGAAGTACTAAGATGTCTTAAATAATAAGCATGTGCGACTTCTTGTCATGACAAAAGAAAACTCAATCAGAAAAACAAACTTAAAAAATAAATTACCTTGGCCCGGGCCTCCCGGGATGCTTCGGCTTCTGCAGCCATGGCTCGCTGGAGCTGCACAGGGAGTTTGACATCCTTAATCTCCACGCGCTCCACCTTGATCCCCCAGTCGTCAGTGGCGTCATCCAGAGTGTTCTGTAAGAAAGAGAGGAGGCACGTGACAGGGGCACCACTACAGTGGCCGTTAGTCACTGCAATTTGGAGCCCATTGGGCATGGGGGTTGGGGGCGGTGAGTTACAGGGACATTTGTTAGGCTATAGGAGATGGGGCGTCTCTGGGTGCAAATGACTAGTGCAGTCTGCTGCTAACAGAAACATTAGAGGCTCACATTCACCAGGGGCTCCTCAGAAGATAGGCCTGGTCCTCTCCTTCCAGAAAAGTAGCCATTAAAAACTCGATAGAGCACAGCTCTACTGTGACGCACCCAGGCCGCCATGAGTCCAAATCAACTCTGACTTGGACCAGAGAGGGGAGAAAAATGACGATGTAGAGGCCGGGGGCCTTGAGAGCTGATCCTGGTCCTGTGACCAATAAGCTACTGTCAGGGTGGGCAGGTGTGTTTTTTCAACAAGAGCAAGATGGTAGTTATTTGTGTGGTCTCAGCCACAAGTGCTCGGCCCTGACATTGTAGGTTAAAAGCAGCCGCAGACAGCACACAAATGCGTGTGGCTGTGTTCCCTGCCTCCCTATCTATGGACACAGGCGGCTGGCCCAGGGCCCAGGACCTGTCAGTCGTTGATCGAAGGTGACTGCGTGAGTCATGCTATTTCTTTCAACGTCCGCTGTTTCGAATGGCAAGGACAACCCATGCCATCCGTCTCGGAAGGTTGTTGGGGGTGTCCACGAAGGTCACAGAAGCTATCCACGATCAAATCTACCCAATGAATGAAGAGTTTTTGCTTGTAGCATGTTAGCGTTCTTGAACAAGCAGGTTTAGCTCAACACTGGCTACTCAGTTAAGAGTGAGAAGGGTTAAGAGTCTTTGGACTAAAGCTTTAGCACTATATGCCTTGTCTTACTGAACAGCGCCTGAACGATTAGGCAAGAGAAAAGGTCCAGCCTAATTCTGGTAAAAAGGAAATAAGAAACACTAGAGGGAATGAAAAATGAACAGTGTGTGCATCTGAGTGCTATTAACGCTGGAGCTGCGGGTGTGAAAAAATGCCCTTCTCTCAAATACGGGAAAACTTTGCTGCGAAGAAAGCAAGGATGGCGTTTCCTCCACTTGAATGAACAAAGGGCCCTCGGCCAAGCACCAGCCCTTTGCTTTGCTTCTCAACTACCGGTGCGTAACAGCGCTCCTCACCTGCATGTTGTGGGCAATCTCCTCTCTGTCGGACAGGATCTGAGAGAGGTTCTTGGTGCCCAGAACGTTCCGAAGAGTCGTCTGTGCCAGAAGACGGGTGGCTGAGTCGGCATTGGTGATGTTGGCCACAGCCAGGGTTGCGTTCTGAACGCGGTAGTAGACCACGCCGTCCACACTGATTGTCACCGAATCCTTGGTGAGGATCTACAAGACAAGGAAGCAACGCCAGTCTGTCAGCCTGCTCGCTCTCTGACTCCGTGGGAGGAATCGGGACTCGGTAGTGAGTCTGAATACGCTAGCTGGCTTCCTTTAGCTGTATCTTCAAAAGTCTCATGAGATATGGTCATTTACTAATTCATCCAAGCATTCCACCGATCTTAACCGTGAGGCTGTAGCAGGTGCTGTTCTAGGTATCAGAGTATTAGATTTGAAAAGACTTGGTTCTTAACTCTCTTGAGGGATCAAAGGAGGATTTAAAGGGCAGGGAGTAGGCATGGGTGAGTGGGAGAGGTGATGCCATTCAGGAGTCCTGAGGAAATAAACAAAGATTTTCTGGGGCAGAGAGAACAGTATGTGAAAAGGTGCAGCGTACCGGGAGAGCCCAGCGTTGGTGAAGTAGAAGCAGGGCAGTTTTGCTGCACACAAAGCGCCCCGGGAATGGTCCCATCGCACAAGGACACGGTGGAGAACCATGTACAGCACGCTGCACCAAACTGTTTAGCACGACATCATTTTGTTTAGAACTGCAAAGCTGTCTGAATGAAGGGTGCCAGGAAAACACGAATTCCCTGGGACTCAGTTTCCTCATCAGTAAACTCGAGATGACCAGTAGTCTACCTTCGAAGACGGTTGCTGGAATGAAGGCATTCATGCATTTAAGGGCACGGAATCATGTCGGATACATGTTAAGTGCTGGCGAAGAGTGAGACTCTATTAGGATGATTACTTTGTCTTGGATAATGGTGCTAACTCTGAGTATAACACTAACTTGGTTAACTGTTATAATCAGCAGCTTTAGACAATAAGAAAACATCTCACTTTGTTTCCGATCTATCCTCTATGCTGATGCTTCCAAACACAACCAAGCCCACGGCTGTCCAGGCGGTTCCAACTCACAGTGACAGTATAGCAGGGCTTCGGAGGCTGTAAATCGTGACGGAAGCAGATAGCCCTGACTTCCTCCGTCAGAGCAGCTGGGGGATTTGAAGCACTGGCTTTGCGGTTAGCAGTTACCCGGCAGCGCCACCATGGCTCCTTATACTTAGGCCACACAGACCACTTAATATCTCAGTTCTAATTTCAGTAATCTTGGTTGAAATGCCTGGCTGGCTTCCTACTGCCTTCTGGGTGGTCCTTCATTTGGTAGGCAGGCCCTTTGACAGCTGGTCCCGCAGTGCCTCTCTGGCCTCATTTCTCCTCGCTCTCTCAGGCCCACATGCCCATCAGAGGGCTCGTAGGCCTCGCGTACACCAGCCTAGCATACCAGCAGCCATGCCTGGACGTTCTCTCTCCCTACAACAGCCGGGCACATTTGTAGTCATCATTCAAGACACATCCAGCACAAGCATCTCTTCGCTGTGAACCGTCCCTGACACGTGTGGGAGAGCTAGGCACTCTTTGCTGTGCACAGCTGCTGCACCGTACGCTGTGACATGGCTCATGTGCAAGTATGCTTCTCCTTTAGACTATGACTCTGAGGGCAAGGGTGGCGTGTGGGCATGCACGTGTGTGTGTTTCTCTAGCACTGGCAGGCAGAGTGCTTGACACGGCAGGTGGTCAATAACTGAGATGGATTGAAATGCAATGTGGGCCATTGCAAAGGAGCTTGAGTGAACAGTGGGCGAGTGCCTGGCTGCTCATAACAGGCCAGTGGCTTACACCCACCAGGTGCTCTGCCGGGGAGAGAAGGGGCAGCCTGTTGGGGAAAGATCGCAGCCTTGGAAATCCTCTAGGGCGGTTCCACTCTTTCCGCCCAGATCAGCCTTGGAAGTCGTGCCGGCAGCTCTACTCTGCCCTACCGTATAAGTTGGAAGAGTTTCTTTGGGAGTCCTCAGAGGTATATTGATGGATGGTGAGCAATGGAATGAGTCAGGAGACCTGAGCTGTAGTTCCGGGTCTGCCCGCCCCTCTCTAGCCAACCTCCGTTAGGCATGGTACAATGGGGGCCAGTAATCTCACCAAATTTCTGTGGAGTATCTTTTGGAAGTGTGAAGAGCTATGTCAAGGGAATGGGGACTTAACAGCAATGCTATGACAGAGTTGATCAGCTCTGCCAGGCAGCTAGGCAGTAACCCTTCTATTTTTAGTCATCTAAAAATACTTCTAGCTTGGAGGAGAAGTGGGGAATTTGTAAATAAATGTACGGTGCCATCTTGCGTGAAAAGCCATCATTTCCATGGCAGGGTGAGGAAATGTGCGCCATTCCTCGACAAAACCTTGTCATGCTGCCCCAGTGGCAGGCCTGGATGCTCTCCAAAGTCTCAGCGGCTCTGCCTGCTGTTTATCAGGGTGTCTGTCCATCTGCCTTCGCAGCGCGTTCACTGGAGATCGGAAAAAGGCCTGCTTGCCAAGTTTCGGCCTGCTTGGCACCCAGCAGCTGGCAGGAGAGTAGAGTGCAGCTGGAAGAGAGAGGCAGACAGCAACTCTGCCAGCCAGATGTCTGCAGTGTTCACAGAGGAAAGTGCCAGAAGCATCCCCAGCTGCCCTGAAAGAGGCTCCTCCTGAGAGTCAACCTTCCCTGAAAGATGGGGGACACATGCAAGAACATGGCCATCAATGCTCTGATCAATGCTCTGTCTTGTTCTTCCGCTGTGGGCAAGATCATTTCTGGCATCCAGAAGTAGGTTTTGACGATAAGAGTCTGCTGCCACGAATCACTTGGCTTGTGATCAGCAAGGAAGTTCCTGAAGCTGGTTTCTGGATTGCGTGACGAGACCAGTGAGATCGTTAAAGTTTATTGTGCCATCCTGGCTGATAAACACATACATGTCGGGTTAATTAAAGGGCGGAGGGATAAATGGCTCAGTGAGCCCCGCCTTTCGAGTTCTCAGGTCTCTTGCTTTTTGATGGCCGGACCAGGGTGCAGCTGCCTTAGCCAGTTCCCTGCTTTAGCTGGCAAGGCTCATTTCCTGCTAGACATTCCCAAGGAGAAGCTGCATGGACCTTCCTCGATGCAGCCCTGGGTGCTGGAGCAGCCGTGTGGAGACCCCTGCCAGCACTGAGATGCTTACATGCTCACTGACTCGGCTTTCCTCCTGCAGTCGGCATCATTGCATGTGATGGAGGAGGACTTTGTGGATTGGTGTCGGACATATGAGTTAATGGGTTAATGTTGGACTTGTGGGCTTGGGTAGCACTGGGTTGGGGTGTTTTCTTGATGTGCACTTACCCTTTATATAAAACTCTCTCTTATACATATGAGTTTCCGTGGGTTTGTTTCTCTAAAGTACCCAGACTAACACAACCAGGCAGCGCGGTCAGGCTCCATCACCCGGTGTTTGGCTATGAAACACCGACAGTATTCTTTTGTCCCCTTCGCATCATCAGGGGATGCTGCACGTCATGACTTGGGGTACCAGACAGCCACCACTTTGCCAAGAGAGCTAATATGAACGGCATTTCGCACGGGGCTGTGCAACGAGCACTGGGCAGGGAACCGGGAGCACCGGGCTTCAGACAGGCGAGGCACTCTGCACCGCAGACCAAACTCACTGCCACACACCGATTACGACCCTCGAACGCTGACAGACAGGGGAGAACTGACCCCCGGGTTTACGAGGGCATGACTCATTATGGGAACCAAAAGCCTCGCCTTTCTCCCTCAGAGCAGGGGGCTGTTTTGAACTGCTGACCTTGCAGTTGGCAGCCTAAAGCATAACCACTATACCACCAGCCCCCCACCCCCACCCCCCGCTGAAGGAATTCCTTCTCACCTCTGTACTATGCACCCATGTACTCCAGAGGTTCTGCTGTGAGTCTCAACTGCTGCAAATACATTTATGGAGTATCCTGACAACTCATGGCATGATTACTGACACGGAGGATTAAAAGTATATGATTTATCTGAAGGACTGAGTAGTCTCTAATTCTTCTGACCAGTTATTTAGAATAAACTCCAGAAGAAGGGATATTGTGCCAAGGAAGATTTTTTTTTTTTTAAATTCAGAAACCCACAGAGAAGAAATGTGGCGCAAGTGAACACGATGCTAATGATGATGTTAATGATGACTCTAATGATGCCGGCAGCCTTACATTACTCCTGACGCTTTCCCATCCTCACAGCAGCAGCAAGCAGGCGTACAGCACTATCTCCCAGGCACTGTTCCAAGCACCCCATGTGCAACCCCTCCATTAGTCCCATATGAACCCCGTTGTCCCATATTAACTCCTCCGTTAGTCCCATATGAAGCCCCTGTTATCCCGTATTAACCCCTCCATTAGTCCCATATGAAGCCCCTGTTGTCCCGTATTAACCCCTCCGTTAGTCCCATACGAAGCCCCTGTTGTCCCGTATTAACCCCTCCGTTAGTCCCGTATGAACCCCTGTTGTACAGAGGAGGAGGCTGCGGCACAGGATGTGCAGTCATTTGCTCGAGGTAGAGCCCATGCTCCCTTCCTGTGCTGCCGGACATCATTAAGCGCTCTCACACGGGAGGTACCGCAGCGAGTCACAGCAAAAGGCTGCCTTACCTCCTGGGGAGGAATGTCGAACGAAATAGTCCTCATGTCCACTTTGATGAAGCTGTCCGTGCACGGCAAAATGAAAAACAGGCCTGCAACAGAGGTACACCGAAGAGTGTAAGGAGCCAACCTCGTCAGCTCGCCTCCTCGCTCAGTTCCCATAGAACCAGCCCGAGCCACTGAAAGTCCCCAATTTATCCCACGTCATCTCTGACTTCCTGCTCCCTTCCCGTATCCAAGGCTTTTCATGCCTCAAGACTCAACCAAAGTTCACTCCAGCGAAGCCTGTGTCATCCTGCTGGCCTAGGCCAGCCCCTCGTCTCCCTGGGCCCCCAGATCTCTTGCATATAATGCTTATCCCAGGAGACGGTGGGGTCCACCACGAGATGGTGAAATCTTTGAGGCCAGGACCGGGCTCCAGTCTCCTTTGCATTCCTAGGGCTCCCTGGAATTCTTCGACTGAAACAGGAAAGCCAAACGAACACACAGAAACGAAATCAAAACAAATCCCCAAACAAATTTGCTGGCGCGTCAGTTCCCGGTGACCCCGCTGCACTGGGTTTTCTTGGTTATGATCTTTACAGACGCTGTTCACCTGGCCTCTCTTCCATGGCACCACTGGGTGGGTTTGAACTGCCAACCCCGCAGAAGCTTAATCTAAGTTTGTCAAATGAATGGCTGGAAATCTTTTCTTCGCTAGAGGCTCTCACTGCCACTTCAGTTCTCTCTCTGACCCCGGCCCCACCTTTTATTTTTCCACGGTGTGAGCTAGTCCTGGGCCAAGAGAGTCTTATCAGCTCACGTGGGAAGGTTGAGGGGAGGCGAGGAAAGGAAAAGATAAGCCCAGTAAACCTGGCATGCGGCACGGTTATTGTTATACCACTTCCGCTACACATGCTCCCTTTGCTGGGTCAACAGAGAAGAGACTCTCTCGTAAGAAGCATCACAGTCCTCAAACAACCAGAATCCTAGTACTGACCAGGGCCCTTGGCTCCTCCTTGTAAAATGCGACCCAGTCTAAAGATGATGGCGCGTTCATATTCTTTGATGATCTAGAATTAAAAGCACACACAATGATTCAGCATGAAGAATACAAATATTTACATGTATTACTTCTTAAATGCATACTAAACATAGTATTTCTGCTCTAAACAAAATGTCTAGCTTGGTGTTTTCCTCTATACAATATCAGATCACATTCTATACATAACATATGCAGTGGCTTAGTGACTACCTCTACCATACCTGGTGACCATGCTGTTTGTGTTTTTAAAGTGGTTATTTTAAAGCGATAATCACTGTAGAAAATTCGGAAAATACAGAGGACTGTATAAAAGCAAATCCATAAATGAGCGCCTTAGTTGTTAACATTATTATCTAATTACATATGTATTGTTAATTTAGGGAGGAAAAACCTCAAGTCCTCATAGTTTTCCCCCTGATTCTTTCCATTTATAATAATCACAAATATATTTGAAGATGCTTAGGGCACATTCTAACTTTTTAGTAATATGTAAGTAATAGTAATTTATCAAAGTACCAAGAACCTTACAGGAAAAAAATGGCCAGTGTTTGTGGGGCACTTACCCTATGCCAAGGGAGCTGTGGTGGCACTGTGGGTTAAGCACCGGCTGCTAACAGAAAGGTCAGTAGTTCAAACCCACCAACTACTCTCAGCAGAGCAATGAAGCAGGCTGCTCCTGTAAAGACTGACACTCACAATCCTATATAAGGTTGCTAAGAGTCAGAATCCACTCGATGTCAGTGGGCTTTTGGGTTGGGTTATTATGTGTCAGGCCTTGTGATAATTACATTTAGATACTTTAATTCATTTACCTTCACACCAACCCTAGTAAGTAAACTAAAACCAAACTCACTGCTAGCAAGTCAATTCCAACTCATAGTGACCCTACAGGACAGAGTAGAACTGTCCCCATGGGTTTGCAAGACTGTAACTCTTAACAGGAGTAGAAAAACCTCATCTTTCTCCTGAGGAGCATCTGGTGGCTTCAAACTACCAACCTTGTGTTTTGTAGCCCAATTCACTATGCTGTTAGGGCATCCATATCTGATTAAGTAGCTACTGCTATTTCCTTCCACTTCACAGGTGAGGAAACCTGGCTAAGGACACACTGAACATTGGGGCCAGCAACTAAACCTGGACATTTTGACTTTGAAGAACTTGTCCTCATAAGATGATCTCATAAAGACCTCTTACTTCAGAATATCTACATGGTGGTCCTCCTCTTAGCCCAGGGGGAAGGACTTGCTAAACAGTGGCTAGAACGCATTTCTCAGATTGCATGGCAATAGATAACTAGTAGAGGAAGTTTTCTTAAAGAGACAAAGGAGAAAGAACTACAAGGCGACAGGGCCTCTGTCTCTCTCACACAGTCACACAGACGCACACAGTGGGTTTCTGTCGGCCAGAGCTAGCCCCTTCCCTGATGCGGATGAAAATCCTTTACCTTGATGCACATCCATATTGATATGGGGAACGTTATAAGCGTGAATAAGAAAGAGGCAGCCACCAAAATCCATCCACAAAGTCCAAGGCCGGTTCTGGGGCTGTCTGTGGAAAACAAAACCAAACAAATAAATGCAGCCTTATTGTTACTAGCACAATCCCCATCATCTTTAGCCTTTCTCGTCAGGGGACACCCATGTGAATTTCCTCATCGATGTCCCTAACGACCCTGAAGTATAGCTAATACCTGTCCTAACCTACCTAGAAACACACGTGTTTGCTGCATCACTCTGGATTTTATCCAGGAAACAGTTAGTAAGCACCAAAAATAAATTACACCCTGTGCTTTGTGCCACAGTGATTAGCATGAATAAGACCAAACCCCTGCTCTCAGGAAGGTCAAGTTCAGTCGGGAGAACAGGAAAGCAGGCATTTAACAACACTCGCTGGTAAAGTGGTAAGATGGAGTATCTGTTCAAATTCTTTGGAGAACACAGATCAGGGGTACCTCCCACTCTTGGGACGGAGGTGAGTAGTGATGAGGATAATTGCTGGAGGGGCTTCTTGAGAGATATAACCGTTAAGGTCAATACCAGCGACAAGTGACAGGGGAGGAAGAACGGGGATTCTAAGCTGACGGTACACCACGATTAAAGGTGAAAAACTATATGAAACCTGTAAAATATTTCATGGGGTAAATGCACCATAATTTATTATCTATTTCCTGAAAACTAGAGAGGCTGTTTCTGACTTTTTGCTGTTCTTTGCATTCCGTTTTCCTCTCGTTTCTAGTTCTTTCCCTTTACTGTAATCGCTTTCCCGGCTAGTTAACTGATCCGCTGCAAGACGTTCAGCAAAGTATTAAAGTGGAGGGGAAATTACTCTCATGCCAGAGATGAGAGAGTATTAAGGAATACCATTCCATGTCTTCTTTGTAAAACACAGACCATATTAATAGATAGACATATGAACTAGACCTGAGGTTTTATGACCTGCTTTCTCTTCTCTAACGCATGCTCTTTCACTTAGGCTTTGTTTTTCTAACGGCTCATTTGTGGGGTTTGAGGGCAGCTCTTTGCTGTCTTTACTTATTATTATTGTTGTATACATTTAATTTTATTTACTCCGACCCGCTTTATTAGGAGTCAATCCGACATCATTCCACTCCTCACTTCAATCATGCGAAGCAGCGTTGTACAATCGCCGCCACGATCAGTTTCTTCCTTCTTGAACTACGCCTTGATTTCTGCTCCGCCTTACCCCCTCACCTGCCTTATTTACCCTCCAGGAACCCTATTGTCTCTAAAGATTGACCCATCCTGGGTTTCATATAACGAAAAACACAGAACACATAAGAGAGTTAAGAAGGCTACCAACAATGACAAAATACAACAGAATAAACCAAAATATGAAAGAGAGAAAATATTAAATACCAGATCAAGCACACGGTATATCAAAAGAGAGATCAGGTGACAAGGTTTTAACCATTCAAGTCAGATTGATCATTTGAATCTACTATAGCCGTCTCTCCAATACTCTGCCTGATCACCACATTATCCCCGCTCCTCAATAATAGAGGGACATCACCGGAGGCTTATTACCTGTGGAGACCCTGCAAATGTGTTTTGGGCTTCCCCTGTCACCCATGACCTTCCGCACACCAGAATCTCACCATTTAACCCCTGATACTATTCTCTCCTTTGGATTTGGGTTACATAATCCCCAATCCGAGGATCACGGATGGTGGTGTGCTTCTTCCATGTGGGCTTGGTTGATGTATTACTGAGATAGTTGCTTGTTTGAAATCAGGCGTTTAAGGCCCCAAATGCTATTCTTTCTGATAGTCAGGCACCATCTAATTTCTTTACCAAATTATTATATTAAAAAACCAGAGGTAGACTTGCAGAAAGCTTAGAGTCAAATAGTTCTACTAGATTCATTTCCCAAAAAGGGCACGCCCTGCTCGCCTCTTCCAATTTCTTCCTCTTCAAAGGCAACTCCTCTTTTGGCTGAGCACTCTGGTATTTACTTCCTTGTTTCTGAAGCACATGCTCTTATAGTTACTTCTCAGTGTTTTAGTTTGGAACATTCTCTATTGGCTTTCTACGATGGAAGAGAATTTCGTTCTCTTTCTTTCCCCTATCCTGACATATATGTCCATTCTTACAGTATATTTATACTATATACTGTATAATACAGTATATTTATAATACAGTATCTTTATATTATAGTATATTTATGTTCCAGTATCTTACAGTATACTTATATAACATTTGGTTAGAGCAATATCAAATTTTACACCATCATGAATATGCAAATACTATTCAAAGTAAAGACACATACTTTGTTTTTCTTGCCTACACAGCTCTTTGTATTTTCTTAGTTTTTGTTTAGGGTCCACATAGTTCTCAGGCAAACTGTCAATGTCATCCTCTGAAAGAAGACCCAGTCTTTCAAACGACTCCTGTCCAGAGGGGGATGGGGCTTTCTGCGCCCACGGAGAGGCACAGTGTTGAAACCTCACAGGGGCAGTTCCACCCTGCCCTACAAGGTCGCTCACTATGAGCGGGAATCAACTCGATGGCTGTGAGTTTGGTTTGGGGCTGGACTCATTCTTTGAATGGAGAATGTCATCTATCAGGGACTTCCAGAAGAACAAGCAGATCTGTCTTGGGAGAAGTAAAGACAGAATGCTCCCTAGA